ATAAAAGAACTTGCTACCAACATACCAGGAGAGACTCTGTTGATTCAAACAAAGGAAGCTGTTTGTGATGACTATCAAAAACTTAGGGCACTGGCTAAAACTTTACTTAAGTTTGAAGTGACTGCTGTCATAGGAAAAGCTATTATGACAGAATACGGTAAGCCTATACACTATTCTCTATTACATGACATGTTAATATCCACATTACAGGGGAGATATTTTGTAGAGATGATTTAATTTTGAATGATTGTGGTAAGAAAAGATTCATAAATAAATTGAAGTGTCATATATATTATAAATGTGTGTGTGAATCATAGACAGAGGATTGAAAATTAAGTTTCCACTTCAATTGACATCACAGTTTCGATCAATGCGTTTACAATTTGGAGATACATTTGTTAAAGTGGAATCAATTTTGCAGACAATCCCACAACCAACAATTGATAATATCAAAAAGTCGTTGAGATTTTCTTATAATACATTACGCCCTCAACTGGATTTGTGTAAAGATATGAATGACATCTTAGAGTTAATGAGTGATAACAGTTCACTTGATGATATTAGCATGCTAGAGTTTCTTGTCAATAAACTCAATATAGAAGAAGCTAAGTTAGTTGTTCAGAAATACAAAGAAGTAATAGAGGAGTTTAGTAAAACAGAACTTAGTAAATGTTTACATGAGAGGTTTTCGTATGCTTCACCACTTCAATGTGAAAGTGTTACCATTGTCGTTGATCGAAAAACCGATGATCTTACATTGGATGATGTCAGGAGATTATCAGCTAATTTATTTGATGAGCTTTCACCAAATGTCAGATTAAATGTCGTTAGAGATGATAATTCTTTCACTATCACTTGTTCCTTCCCTTTGATTCTATCTGAGCAGTTAATTAGAGCTGCTCTTAATAATATTGATGTATTGAAAGAAAACAAAGTAAAGAGATTAACCATTGGATACTGCACTGTGTATGAGGTAAACAATATGAGCTGATTTTATCATTACTTTAAGTATAAAAGGTAAACGACACCTCCCCTACAACAGATCAAAGTAAGCTGTGTGTTCTTTAACTTTAACTTCATGGATATGTAGATGAATATCAACAAACTTCATCCTTATCAACTAGTAGTGGCTTATCAAAACAATTGATGCTGTCATTGAGTGTACAACTGATTAGTAGTAAGGAGGAGGTTACTACTTTAAATGAGGTATGACTATATAAGCTATTCTTATTTCATTAAAATGAATTGTACTATAGTACATATTGCATGGGCTAATAACCATGTCTTGTATTAATAATTTGCTCATTTTATAGGAAAGTAAGATAATGAAGGAAGAAGCAGAGTCATTGAAGGAAAGACTAGACACTAAAAACAAAATGCTGAATGTCAGTATGGCAGAAAACAATAGGTTTAAAAAAATAGCAGGTATAAATGATGTCACAGTGAACTTAATTATTTAATTTATTATTAGCCGAGACGAGTCAGTTATTGCAAAAGAAAGTATCACATTTAACAGAACGTGAAAAAGTTAGTGAGAAATTTGAACTATTTTATTGTTATGATAATAATAGGAGAATGAGAAACTGACTGAAATAAACAAATTACTAGAAGAGAAGCTTGCTTTATTTCAATCTGAGAAAGAAAGTAAACATGATTGTATTAACTATAAGCTATTACTATTGTGGTCCAAATAGAAGATGAAAAACAGCCACTCACTGTAGAATGTAGGTCAAATAAAGAACTAAAGGAACAAATTTTTAAGGAAAATAATGAAAACACCAAAGATGAACAAAGTATGTACTATTAATTATCAGAAATTATCATAATAATGGTGACGTTGCTATAAGCACATACATACATGATACAAGTGCTCTATTATACAACTAAACATTAGGAACAGAAGTTGAGAAGATATTGGCAGAAAAAGAAGAACTACAAGCACAATTTGATTCCTACAAAAGAACAATGATGGCAGAAAATGAAAAATTGCAAACAGACCTTGCTAATGCAAGTAAGCATGCACACTTTCATTATGACAAGTATAATAATTAAAATGTTAGGGAAAGAAGCAGAAAAAATTGTGACAAAAATGGAAGAGCTGACATACAATATTGAAATAATGAAAAATGAGGCAATGATGACAGAAAATGATCAAAGTTGGTTTTATACATGCATACTAGTGCAGTGATATCTCATTTAATTTCTAGTCACACAATTAAAATTGACTCGAGTTCCAACATTGCATGATGACTGGAGAGAACCACACACTCTACCAGTGGAAGTATTGATGACATCTTTTGCTTCACATCATAAAAGCAATGGCTATTGGTACAGCCCAAGTTTCTATTCTCATAAAAAAGGATACAAGCTGTGTCTAAGAGTGAGAGCTAATGGAGAGTCAGAAGGAAGTGGAACACATCTCAGCATTCACATCCATTTGATGAGAGGTGACCATGATGACACCTTAAAATGGCCGGTCAGGGGAAAAGTAAAACTAGTGCTATTGAATCGGAAACGTGATGAAAATCATTTCGTTGAGGAAATTGAATTTAATGATGGCTCAAATCCAGAGGCCACAGGGAGGGTGATCAATGGAATTCAGATAAGCAGTGGCACTGCAGCTTTTGTTGGACAGGGAAGAGCAGCTTTTATACCACAAGACCTACTCTTCCAAGACTACATGAAAGATGATAGCATCAGGATTCGTATTACCAGTGTAGATTTATCAGGCCAGGGTAATTCAATACCCATATCAGTTGCTACCAGTTGGCCTCCTATTTTCGAATTTAGAATCAATAACTTCTCTGCACTACAAAAATCCAATGGAAGTTATGTCAGTGATTATTTCTACACACACAAAAAAAATAATGGTTACAGGTTTGTTTTTATGGTGTATCCCAATGGGGTAGGAGCAAACAAAGGGAAAAATGTATCTATTTTTGCTCACCTTACAAAAGGAGAAAATGACGACCAACTCAAGTTTCCATTTAGAGGAGAGATCACACTTCAAGCTGTTAACTGCCACGCCAATCACGATCATGCTGAGAAAGTGATTCGAATCAATGAATTGACAGACCCTAAGGAGACATATGGTGGTCGTGTAGCATGGTATAATGTAACTGGACAAGCACTCAATGGATATGGATTCCCAGAATTTTTACGAGACGAGCAACTGAAATACAATGAAAAGAATAACACACAATATCTCAATGAAAATGACTCAATGCTTTTTAGAGTAACTAATGTAAGAGTAATGTCAATATAAAGCGCAAATAATTTTTAATACATATTTTTAGCCTTTAATAAAAAAATAAAAATTTGACTTAAATGAATAAATTTTCTATGCAAGAGCAGCAATAAACCAGAACAATAATATATGTATGATATGAATAATAAAAACAATGGAGCATGTAAATGTACAAAAACAAAATTATAGTTCCACATACAGTGTTAATCACTAGATCCCAAATTAGTGGGAGGATTGAGCTCTTGTTAATTGGAGTAGGAGGAAAAGAAGGAGCTACTGATAGTGTAGAAATATTGAGAGTATAGAATCCTATGAGAGGAGAGAAATATTATTTTATAATTTTAGAATTTTTAAAAAGTGGCTATAACTTGAAAAATTCAAGTCGGAATCAACTCAAACTTTCTACACAGCATAAATACATCAATATGTATTGGAAAATGCAATAACAATTTGAGGTAATTTTTGAGTCATTTTTTGGGAAAAAACCATGGGCTATAGTCTTGGGTATTTTTCAGAATTTTGGCATTTTCTTAAAATGGCTGTAACTTTAAAATTTGAAGTTGGAATCAACTCAAACTTTCTACACAGCATAAGTACATCAATATGCATTGGAAAATGTAATAAAAAGTTGGGGTAATTTTTGAGCTGTTTTTTGGAAAAAACCATGGGCTATAGTCTTGGGCATTTTTCAGAATTTTGGCATTTTCTTAAAATGGCCTAACTTGAAAATTTGAAGTCAAAATCAACTCAAACTTTCTACACAGCATCAAATCATTAATATGTATCAGAAAATGTAATAAAAATTTGGGGTGATTTTGGAGCCATTT